AGAACAGCAGATATGACGTTTATATCTTACTCCACAATTCTGAAAAGTGCGAGGCAAGGCCTAAGCACGAGTTTCAAGCTAAATGTAGCACAAAGATAAAGGCGAATGAACTCAAGAAAAGCTCGTACATCAAAATGGAAGCAGCCATGTAAGATGACGTATATCAACAACATGCAGTGTAAAAAAGCTCGATCAACCACTTGCGTCTTGTCAGATAAAAAAATTGAAATGAACACTTTTCATAAAATTCTAATCAACTATATAAGAAAAATCCATACAAGGGATAGTCGCAAAAACTACTCCAAAACGGGGGGAAATATCCAAGTAAGTATCTCAGTGAAGTTCGTCTTGTTCTACAAACATTGCAATTTCTAAAATAAATAAATACAGCAAAGTTGTCTTAATAAAAATCAGTCATGATAAACCTCGAGGATAGCATTTACAATTAAAATACGAATGAATAATCCAGAAATTACCTCTAGTTGATGTAGCATGTCTACTGCAGAGTCCAGGTCACACCTGTTAGCCAAATAAACTTCAGAAAGAGACTCGAATGATATCCCAGGAAAGGTGATCTGAAGGTAAGCCAAGTCCATGTCAAACTCTTCATCAAAGCTTGGCTGTATAGGATTAGGATATTGTGAAGTCGAAGCAAAGAATTCAGCACCACCAAGTTGATCTTGATCATTCCTTTTAGAACCTTCACCAGTTTGGATAGCATAAACATGCGGGCCATGGGTTTGAGATTGAGGCAATAAAGTGTTCGGCTGTTGACCTGACCAAACGAACTCATTTCCATTGTTCAACTCACTGTTTGCACTTGAAACCCCTCTTTTGAAGAGGGGCACATAAGCTGCCGCATTAGGATTTAGAGAAGATGAACCAGTCCTCATTGCTGCTAAAAATGGAAAATGTCATAAATCTAGTTTAACACGCTTTCCAGGAGAGATTCTGATATCGAAATATCATATGTTGAATATTTTAGAGAGTAATTTCTTCTGAAAAGTAAAAAACACACCTACGTATAGCAAAAGGAAAAGAAGTTATTATGCTATTTGCTATAAGCATTTTGCAAAGAACAGAAATTATCCTCATAAACTGTAATCATAAGTTTCCACAAGAATACACACTTGTAACTTCAATATCATATGATATCTTATGTAGAATGAGTCTTAATGTAAATTCAATATCTTGCGCAAAGGGAACGAGAACCCATATCATAGCGTCTGTTTAAAGGAAGCATTTGCTGCATAAATTTTTCAAACAAAGTATCTGATACTTCATGAAAGAGCATGTAGTAAGTCTCAGTTTTTGTTCCAAAAAACAGAGCGGTTCTTCAAACTACAACGAAGTACAGAATATTTACTGTAGGCTTACAGAGATGAACAGAACACTTTCGCCATGGGATCAATTAACATCATAAATGAACACATAACCTTCAAATTGCAAACCAAAAAAAAAAACATCAAATACGCAAATAAAACACAAAAAGTACCACACTCACTGATTCATTCCCCAGCTCCGTCACGTCTAATTGCACCATAGTTCTCTCAACACACCCACACACACACACACACACACACACAGAGAAGAACCTCAAAGGAAAAAGTACTAAGGGGAAAAATACACATTCAATAACATCAAGCAACCTAACAGCTTCTTGGTACAAAAAGCAAATACGCAGGGTTCAAGCTTTTTTGCACATACAAAGCCATCAGAGCTAGAGAATAAAAAGCAAGAAACCAAAAAGCAGCATCAGACGGGACTTTCTTAAAAAGTAAATTTCAGGTGAGAAACTGCAAGATCGACCACGTTTAACTAAAAGAAAAAGGAAACCAGAACAAAAAAGAAGAAGAAAAAACGGCCACGAACAGATAGATACAGGCACACAACAAGAATTAACAGAGATTAAAAACGCAAAAAGAGCTAATCGATCCACGACAGACGAACAAACCACAGACTAATATGCAACGATCACGCACTATAAACAAAATAAACTGCGGAAAAATTAACAAAAAGGGGGGAAAATACTCACCACTAGCTGGATCAAGAACACGGGGGACGAACTTCAGGTGTATGTATCAAACCCCCCGGAATTCGTGATCGGCACGAAAATTCAGAGCAAAATCGTAGAGAAAAAGAGGAATATTATAAAATGAAAAATGTGGATAGTTTTTATAACTTCCTCTGTCGCTTTTTCTGGCAGCTGAAATTTTGTCGTTTTGTGGAGGATGACGTCCGTTACGCTCTCACATTGAATATTTTCTAAATACTATTTTTTTACTAAACCAACATACTTTTTCAATACAGTAGATTGAAAGATACACTCATAGTCTCATACTTTTTCAATAATAATATATATAGTAGTTACGAACTTTTTTAATATATAGTAGATTATGATTATGTGATCGAATACACTATTTATTTTCTGAAATAAGTATTGCAATGTGAATTTTCATTTAGAAATAATATGCTTTAATTATAATGTACTCTCTCTGTTTGTTTTTAATTGACGTTTTAAGTTTGATGTTTTATTATTAATTATTTCTCCTTTTTTAATAAAATCTTTTAATTATATTTGTCTTTTAATTTGTTTTGGTGGTTTGAAATTTTTATATTTGTGTCTTGGTCTGTTTTTCAATTGTCTTGAGTGATTATCTTCGGCTTATTGATTTTGTGTATTTGATGGGGATGACATTGTCTATGTTTTTTAGTTGGTGTCCTATGTTTAGCCTATTTTCCTTTTATATTTTGTTTTAATCTATCTTCTACATTGGTATTAGTTTCATCGATTGTAGAGAATTAGAAAATTGATTGAATTCTGTCGTTACAAGAATTAGAAAATTGATTGAATTCTGTCGTTACATGTATGTTTCTTTCGATCAATCGTCTACACTGATATTAGTTTTTATCGTTGGTAGAGAACAAGGAAATTACAATATTGCTACTATTTGGGGGAAAACGAAATAATAATAACCGAAATGTCATTTTCAATGTTGCAATTTCATAATTTACTATAGGGTCCTTATATTAGCAAACGTATTTCAGTTCACTCCCAAGGGATGTCATGTTGAAATTTTGAAATAAGCCTAGGGAAATGTACTTTCATTAGAAATATATAAAAAAATAATAGACAAGGACAGGAGTACAACATACATAAACGGGATAAGGATCATAAGAACAATAAGATCTGTTACAAAATTATATTCCAATTCATACACATGTCAATAAAGATGTCACAATTACACATCTCATTCATGGATGAACGAGTGAAACATAATTTTAAACATGAAATCAACACAAACAAACCAAGAAACAGTGACAGGTGAGACATGGAAAGCAGACCCATGAATTTATCTCCAACAGAAAGTCACATAAACCACAAGCAATAGTATTATGTTACAACTGAATTAATACAGGGGAAAAGACCACCAAAGACGAGCAAAAAACAAGTTCTCAACAACCAGAGTGAAATCATACATCCAAGTCCAAAAGCAAGACCCTTGAAAAGTCTATTTATTTTTAACCAGCCATTAAAAGCCCATTAACCCAATCAAAAGCCCAACTTTACCTTATTGGCTGCTGATTGTAATGATTCTTCTCTTTCTTCTTGGCGGCTGCCAGCCTGGCACTTCTGGCAGCAGCCTCCACAGCAGCTGCTCTTGCTGCAGCATCCATTTCCTTACCGGATTTCTTCTTCTTAACAGACGCCATTTTCTTGAGCTTCTCTTTGACATCAATGGTTGATGAATCCTCGTCAGCATGTTCAGCTCCAGGGATTTTGTCGGGCCCATTAAGGACAATGGAGGTATTATTGGGTTGGTCTTGAGGCTCCTTTGTCTCTTTGGATGACTTGTCCTTCTTCTTCTTCTTCTTGGCACTTTTTGATTCACCAGGAGCAGCATTGTCCTTCTCGCCATCTCCATTTGTTTGTCCCTCTTTCCTGTCTTTAGAATATGCAAGGTGAACCGAAAATGGTAAGAAATGAGTATTAAAAATCTCACACTCAATAAATCAACTTATCTTCATCTCAAATACGCTTTCGACATTTTATTCTTTTCCAACAAATCTCACACAGGAGACAGAATAATATATTAAAGACCATTCAGTTTCGAGGGAGGTATGCGTAAAAGTTACAATAACACACCACAGATCAAGTAGGTTTATATATACAGCCTCATCCCAACTGAAGAATTTGAAACCATTGATTTCCAATTATAATAAAAAAATTCATTGAGCTTCTTCAGTTAATCTCCAGATCCAAAGAATTTCAAAACTTCATAAGCTCCTATGTTGAGCCATCATTCGAATAATTGACAAGGATCTAAAATTCATCTTATATGGCTAGATTATGAATCATCTCCTCAAATCCAAATGCAACATGGTTTGACCAGATTACAAGAAAGATGCAGCCAACTCCCAGAATTACTATTACCCATGATTTGTTTATGTTCTAGTATATTTCCATCCATGAGAAATAAACATTTTCATACCCTCCTACACAGATTACTTCTTGACCATCAAACTTCAGATGCTTCCATTTTTGTAATTTTAGAAACTAGCTGGCTTTTTTATTAGATCAAACGTCAAAGGATCTCTTTTAGTTGTCCCTAAAGATCACAGTATTGAAGGAATAGAAACATGATTTACCAGATCTCTCATCTCCAGCTTTCTCTTTCGGGTTAACTCCAAAATCAGCTAGGATAGCCTCTAGCTCGGCCAACTCTTTTTTCTTCCTCTCTTTCTTGGAAAGCTGCCTCTCAGGCTCTTTAGGTGCTGGAGAAGATTCCACGGGATTTTTCAATACCGGCTGAGGCTGTTCTTCGGCCTCTGGTTCTGGGTCGTGCTCGTCTTCCACATCATCATCCCCTTCATCGAGAAGATCATCTTCACTTTCACTTTCCTGAAATTACGGCTCATAATGATTATTCAAACATCCGACAACAGTTATCAAATTTCCACCATGGTGCTATGGTGTGGCAGATTTCTGCCTAATTGCCACTATAAATTTGTGAAGGATGACGTTATGGCGGGATATCAGCCTGCAGCCATTTTCCGCCATCCATTATTGATAACACTGCATCCAATTCTTGATTGGATTATTTCATTAACATGAAAATATTCTGGTGACACAATTTTTTTTGCCATCCTCATTCTCAAGCTAATAACCAATCAAAGGGAACCTAAAATTATTGGATACGCAATATGGCACGCACGAAGAAGTCCCTTCAGAATCAATTCAACAAAGTAGCTATGGAATATACATCATACAAATTACACAAGAAAGTTAACGACAGCAGATACTAACTATATGGTGGAAAAGGGAAAAGGCCATACACAAGTGCACCTTTAAAACACTATAAATAGTAAACATAAACATAACAAACCCAAACCATGTGTACACCACAAAAGATAGCTAAGTCTCAGCTAATATTTCGATAAAGTATATTAGCATCAAGTGTTACCCGAAACTTGATACTAGAAGCATTAATACAAAAAAGCGCCTTTCGGAGATTCGCCGGGGTAAAACCTAGCGGAAGACTAATTTGTTGCGATCAATTATTTTGTGACCCTTATCCATATCACTTAAATCACAATTGACATAGCTATATAACACACGCTCAACAAAACAATAATAAGATAAATTCTTGGAATGCGCATACAATTTACACGAACAAAAATGTAATGCAACATGTGTGTACGAAACTATTCCACATAATCAACGAATGAAAGACTTACTTATTAAATAGTAATTGTCACAAACTGTATAAAAACAAAACAACAAGTTTGCGGCATTCTTCAACAACCTACGATGATACGAAACACAACATCAAGGTATGGAGTTAAATCCACCACAGCCAATAAGCGCCAACCAACAAATACGGAACACCACATATGACTAACAAACAAAAAGTAAAGTCCTACCCACATAAATACCATACTTTATTATTTCTTTCAATATATACCTCTATGGAATCATGTTTCTGATTCTCTTCAGCTTTACTTGAACCAGAAGCACCCCATATCACCTGTGGTGGAGCAGTAGTCGCATAGTAATCATCATCATCTTCATCATCGACATCAGCCCATGACTTTGATGTCAGAGGCGCCGGAGCCCAGTAAACCTGCTTCTCAGCCTGAGGTGCCCCCTTTGAATCTTTCGATGTGCCCTTACCTCCCTTAGACGAGCCCTTCTCTTTGTCAGACTTCTTCTTCTTCCTCAGACTATCAAGAGCTGCAAAGACATTGGTGTTGCTCACAGTAAAAGACCCCTCGTCCCTTCTATTCCCACCTCCCACCATTTTCAGTTGTCTTAAATAAAAAACTCAAGCACAAAACCTAGAGAAACAATAATTAAAGATTCCCGATGACCCAGTTATCGAATCCAAAGCTCAGAAATGACAGCTCCCGATTATTTCAGGATTTCGAATTTCAGAAGTCAGTATGTGTATAATAAAATAAAATAAAACGATAATTAACAACACAAAAAGGGAAAATCCAATCAAAAGGGAGAAGACAAAAACGCAAAACCAAATCTCGGGAAAAGTAAATTTTGTCAGATTATCCGAAATCCACAGAAATTTAGATTTTATCCTATTGAATTACAGATGCTCGACTAATCAATAATTCAATATCTCGAGCGCTCGACGAATTAGAAAATGCGAAGTCGAGAAAACGCAGCTAGGGTTTCTGAAGGAAGAGATTGATCTGTGGTGTTAGTGTGTGTGTGTGATTTGTGTTCCCTTAATGGGTTGCGATTAGATACAAATGATACGTATTTTTGTTCACAGATAGAGAGAGATGTGAAGGGTTTGAGCTATGAAGACGGAGGAGAGAAACTGGTTGCAGATAGATAATGCAGGAAATGAGCACGGGAGGTTTATATACTTGTGTTTGTGTAGGATTTTTACTAGTCCTATTGGTTTGGGTTATTTGCACTTTGGACCCGACAATATTTACAAATTGTGGTATGGACCTGTTTGGGTTATTTGCACTTTGGACCCGACAATATTTACAAATTGTGGTATGGACCTGTGTTTAAGTGACCGGTGGTTGATGTGTTTCCAACGTATTTTTGATTTGATATATTATCTTTTCCTTGCAAATAAAAGATAATTTTAGCTAATCTTCAAATGCATTTAATGATATTTTGCAAATAAAAAATAATTTCAACTCATTTATTATACTATATAATAAACAAAAATACACCATATAATAAACAAAAATCCAAAGATCACATATGAATTATATCTCGTTCAGGGTGGATTTTAGTTGGTAGTTTTACAATTTCTTTTATTTCTTTTTATTCGGTCGGTGGATTTTAGATGGTAGTTATACGAATGCTTATAAATCTTTTTATTCAGTTTGCAATCGGTAGAAGTTGTAGCTCACAATTTCTTGGTTGGTGTGTCTAAAGTTGAAAAATTATGCATTTAGTAGCAAGGATGCACGGGAACAATATTAAATTAACAATATTATAAATAGACCTCGAGTTTGAGTCAATGGCGGAAGTGAAAACTACTATTGATCGTATTTAAAAAGAGGAAGAAAAAAAAAAATAATTATAAATAAAAGAGGAGGATAAACAATATTTAATAATTATAAATTAAAGATTCGGGGTCAAACAATGTAAAATGATTTTGTATAAGAAAATATAATAAAAATTGATTACACACCATTTCAAAATTATTATTATACTTTTTTGTATGGTTAGCTTAGAATATTTGTAAAAATAATAGTAATTAGACCGATGAAAATTAACTTCTTAAAGTAGATAATGGATTTTAGTAGTAATTATGAATTAGTTTCTATTTTATTTTATTTTTTCTTTTTAAAGATAATGAATTTCTAGTAGTAATTATGAATTGATTTCTATTTTATTTTATTTTTTCAAATCTGTATAGATAAGAGATGAGATTTTTTAAACACCTAAGATCGTATGAAATGAGATTTTGTAACATAAGAGATAAGCTCGTGTAGATTTATACTAAAAATAGGAAAAAGAAAAACAAATATTTATTATTAAAACGATAAACTAAGAAACAGGAAAAAGAGAAACAAATCTTTACACAATTAATGAGCAGATTTTTTTGCCTATTCAGATTTGTCCAACAATTACTATATATAGGATATATTTAATGATTTTGGCGGGAAAAAGTTTCTAAATTTGTAAAAAGGTTATTCTTTTTATATAATGATAGATGAATAAATGTTGATTCTTGTATTTTTCTTTTTTCACAACTACACTTACTCTAACACAACAAAATTTCAATCTACGGGCTTCAATATCTGCTCTTAAAAGTTAATTTTTCCTTTCAACTTGTGCTTGCACATTGAAGTGTTGTTTTTTATGATTATAAATTTGGTATTAAACTCAGTAGACGTTATTCATCATTAGTAGTTGAAAAGCAAAAAGAGAGAACACTGCAGTCAAAAGAAATTTTGCCAGACCAATGTAATGATGTCAGAAAATTTCCTCAAGAGTAGATTCTTGTACTACATAACGTGGTCATTTTAAAAAAAATAAATAAATAAATTGACCAAACTCTGGGTGATCTTCAGATTACACATTGACTAGCAGCCCGGATCTTTTCACAAGGGCCCGGGCCAAAACCGGTTTATGGATAATGAATAGATGATGCTAAAAGTTATTCTACATACAAATGTCTTGTAGATAATAGATAGTTTCCATGTAGAATATTTCATGGCAGATGAAAATTAAGCAAATATACATATGCTCTCAGGCAAAAGCCCCATGATTTTCATTCAAGAAGAAAGTCTCATACACCACAAGTAATAGTATTATGCTACAACTGAACTAACAATAACAAGTACCCAACAACCATAAATAGTCCGGGCCTGGCGGGCCATGGCCATGTAAAGCCATATTTATCCAAGTCCAAAAAGCAATACACCTCAAAGTCTTATTCTTTTTTAAGGAGCCGTAAAATAACCAGTTTACCTGATGCAAAACTCGCCTTTTACCGTATTGGCTGCTGGTTGTAATGACTCTTCTCTTTCTTTTTGACGGCTGCCAGCCTGGCACTCCTGGCGGCAGCCTCAATGGCGGCGGCTCTAGCGGCAGCATCCATTTCTTTACTGGATTTCTTCTTCTTAATGGATGCCATTTTCTTGAGCTTCTCTTTGACATCAATGGCAGATGAATCCTCGTCAGCATGTTCAGCTCCAGGGGTCTCGTCTGAGGTATTGGGCTGGTCTTGAGGCTCCGTTGTCTCTTTGGATGACTTGTCCTTCTTCTTCTTCTTTTTCTTGGTGGTTTTCAATTCCCCGAGGGTATTATTGTCATTGGCCTTGCCAGTATCTCCATTTGCTTGTCCCTCTTTCTTTCTTTAGTGACATCTACAAGATGAATCAAAAATTGGAATGTTTGATAGAACTACTGTGGTTCGTGCCTCAAAATGAAGATTACCCTAAAGTTTTGGAAGGAAGAAATTAATGTATGTAAACGTGCCGGAAAATTTTCGGGAGCAGAGCATATAAGGTACTATGTAATCTATAATAATGCATCATCATTATTAAAGCATAGCAATGGTATAAAGAAGGCATGTTTGCTTTATAAGTCTTTATTACGACTGAAGGAATTTCCAACTATAACAGCAATTCAATGAATTCATTGACCTTGAATGGGTAATCTCCAAATAAATTGGTTCCATATTTTCAGAGCTCCTGTTTTATAATATTGACACTGAATCAAACTCGAGGTGTATTTTTGTGATTTTGAGAATTAGCTAGCTTTTTGGTAGGTTAAAGCTGATTGGTACTTTATTTAATTATCTCAAAGATACACATTATTGAAAGAACAGGAACAAAATGAAACAATATTTACCAGATCTCTCATCCCCAACTTTCTCTTTCGGGTTAACTCCAAAATCAGCTAGGATAGCCTCTAGCTCGGCAAGTTCCTTTTTTTTCCTCTCCTTCTTTGACAGCTGCCTCTCGGTCTCTTTAGGTGCTGGAGAAGCTTCAACAGTCTTTTTCAACACAGGCTGAGGTTGTTCTTCAGCCTCGGGTTCGGGGTCGTGCTCCTCTTCCACGTCATCATCCCCTTCATCAAGAAGATCGTCCTCACTTTCACTTTCCTGCAATCATGACGGATAAGGATTATCCAGATTTTCAATTAGTATTGGATTATTTCATTGACCACTCAAATGGATCCTATAATGTTTGGATAAACACAAGTTAGCACACCATATTAACAAATCAATAACTGTAGGCTAATGAAAATCCGTAGATGATTACTGGAATCAAAAGAGGCACCGTTCAATAAGATCATGTTTGCTCATCTTTGTTTCTTTTACAGTCAACATATAGATTATACGAGATGGCTTTTTTCTTTGGGGGTGGGGGAGGGGGGAGGAGAATTATGTTACATCAACTAGAAACAAAAAATGCCGTGAGTGCCAAAGAGTGATTCAATATGGATATACATAGTGCATTTTTTTCCCAATGCGCACAACGAACGAGTCTGAACGTACAAACAAAAAATTTCGAAATTAAATTAGGGAAAAACAAGTGATTCAATTCCTCCAATCCTCATCTTCCTATTCCCGATGCAGAACTCTAAATGCCATTTAAGGTCCAAATATTTGCAACAAGGATATTTAAATAGGAAGGCATAATACACCAAGACAGGATGCTGAAAGATTATCACATTAATTCAAAGAAGATAACAACCTGTTTGGAGGGGAGATCAAATGAAACATGCTCGAGGTAATTTTCCTTATAACTCAATCAACGTACATGCAATGACATAGGAAGGAATAAATTCGTTAACATTTGAATATCAGACTACTGTTCAACTGGACAGTCTTATAGGATCATTACTTTAAATGTACAAAATAATTCGTTAACTGAAGGAATTGATGTGGTAACTAAAGAAACAAAGATATCAATACATCTAGGTAGATTATAAATGTTCCTATTTCAAGCAACACTATAAGGTCAGGCAGCACCATTCTTGAACAAAGTGCCATTAGAAGACATCTTCAGTCTAATTGAGTTTATTTTATTTAATTATTGTAAGTATTAGAGACACTTTGCACCAGCTTTAATGGTTGTAAAATTGTAATCATAAGAACATACAAGATCAGATATATTATCTTTTTTGATACAGAACAAAATGTATGCCAACTTACGGTGAGCTTAGAAAATAAGATGTTAATAGCAGGACTGACAACAATTATCGGTTCCCTTTCAAGGCAATGGTGATTCAATTTATTAAATAAAAAACACAAAGAGCAAAAAGCTTCAGGTTTTGGCTAATCCATCACGTATAAGAAAATTTCCAGCTCTAGAAGTATCAAAATCATTGAACATGCAAAATGACACACATGGAGCAAAAAAAACTTCATGTCTTGGCTAATCCATCACGTAAAACAAACTTCATCACAACATTGCCAGCTCTAGAAGTATCAAAATCTTTAAACGTGCAAAATGGCACACATAGAAGTCCCTTCAGAATCAATTCAACACAAATCTGAGGATTTTCCACCACAAATAATTATAGACCTGACGTGTAAGATACCGGATTGTAATTATATTATATAAGCAGAAAAAGGTAAAAATCCATTTAATTAACAGCACCTTTAAAAGACCATACATAATAAATAATGTACGAGACGCGTCTAAAACACAAAGATCACAAAAGGTAGCTTACTCCCGGCTCCTAAGATTCAACCAATAGATACAACGCATTATAAGTAACCAACACACAACATAAATACAAAATACGAACACCATGAAAAACAAACAACCCACATAAACACCAGAGTTTCACATTTCTTATAATATATATACCTCTACAGGATCATGTTCACGAGTCCCCTCAGCTTTATTCGAACCAGAAGCACCCCATATGACCTGTGGAGGTGCAGTTGTCGCATAGTAATCAACATCATCCTCATCATCGACATCCGCCCAAGACTTTGACGTCAAAGGCGCCGGGGCCCAGAAAACCTGCTTCTCAGACCCAGGTCCCTTCGACTCTTTTGACGTGACCTTGCCACCCTTAGACGATCCCTTTTCCTTGTCGGACTTCTTCTTCTTCCTCAGACTATCTAAAGCTGCAAAGACATTAGTATTGCTCACGGTAAAGGACCCTTCATCCCTTCTATTCCCACCTCCCACCATTTTCAACCGTCTGCAAAACTCACGCCTAAAACCTACAGAAACAATAATTACTGACAGATTACTGATGGCCCAAATAACCAAATCCAACGCTCAAAAAAACAACAATTCCAGATTGTTTTACAATTTCAATTTTCACAAGTCAGTACATAAATCAATCACGGAAAACAAAACCTCAGAAATAAATCTCGGGAAAAAAATATATTTCGTCAGATTCTTCAAATCCACGGGGAACTAAACGCAGCTGCTTAGGGTTTCAAACAGACGATATAATTAGGCAACTGGGCTCCGATTTACGATGATGAGGTAAGCGTATCTGCTTGTGTTTGGTGTGTGCAAATCTGTGTCTGATTTGTGTGCTTCCAAAAGCGCGTCGATAGATACACTGTATGTATTATGTATAATATGTACAGAAAAAGGAGAAATGCAAAAGGGTTTCAGCAATGGAGACGGAGAGGAGGTGAGCACGGGAGAGATTGCAGATAACGTAAAAAATGAGCCTTGGAGATTTATTTGTATATATATACTTGTGTGTGTGTGTGTTTTTTTTTTCATTTTTCTAGTCCTTCTAGTTTTGGTTATTTGCATTTTGGACCTTATACTACTTGAAATTTAAATAATTTCATACATCCATTTTTTATTAATTTGAAAGGACAATTTCAATGGGGAGAATATTGTTTTTCGGTGTTTTTTACTCGGATATACCAAAATCCAAAAGCATTAAATATATATATTATTTAATATTTTTTATTTTAAAAATAAGATTGTGTATAATGTGATAAACATTTGTTACAATATTATTAAGACATTCAAGTATAAAATTTACATATAAATTTGACTTTTTTTTTGTTTGTTATTTTTATGTGTGATTAGAAAAAATAAGTAATTTATTTTTTTAGAGTTAACTATTATGGGTTGAATTTGAAAACATTGTTCTTTTTAGAATAAAGGAAAATAATATATTGTTGACTTATATCTAGATTTTCCTTCATCGTCCACTTTTCTCTTGGAAAAGCATATCTTCTCACTGACTTTTATATGCATACACATGTACTCATCTATTGTTAACTGAAAAAAAGCTCGTTTTACAGTAAAAAATCTATACTTTTCCATAATTTATGAAAAGCAGACTTACAGAAAGTCAAATAAAATCATAAAGCAACAAGAAATAAAGTGAGGATAAAAATAAACATCAAATCCACAATCCTTTAGGTACAAAAACACAGTTCCAAAATGGTTTCACAACTCAAAAATCAGACAAATATTACAATCACACATATTCCTAACCTTTTCATCACGGTGAATATTATCTCTTTTGTCGTAATCATATCCTATCGTATGATAAAATTCACAAGAAATTCATCAATTACACATTCCTTCTAGCTACACGGCAGCGATTTATAGAGACAAAAATAGTACAAGGATATATTTTGAAATATCGCACCCGATTTGCAGATTCTAACTTCAACCACTGTATACATGTATCTCATTAGGCCACAAAGAATAGAAATATCATGAGAAAGAAAATCAATACAAAGAAGATCTTGATCATCAGCCACCGATTAGAGGAGATGCTGTTGAGATACTTGAGCAATGCTCCCTGTGCGCCCTCAACATTCGACAGTGTATCGTCCATGTTCTCATCAATCCTAAAAATAAAACAGAACATAAGCAAATAAAAAGTTTTCTTTGCAAAAAAAAATCGGGTGTTTAACTAGCCAAATGATGTTTGAACTCAGATAGACTAGCTGCACAGGATTGATTATACATTAGGTGCATTCGAATGTAATTGAAGGTTGAAAATTTTCTTAACGTGACTTCAAATTATTCTATATGCTAGAATCATTTATCCCTACATATGTTTGAACTTTGTTCTTCGTTTCTTAATTTGCTATTTTCGGATTTGTTGCCATGTTTTGTAGCATATACAGAATCTTGCCATTGTGTAACAAGTTTTTAATAATATATAAAATTTAAAAGACATTTTTAAACCTGATAGCGATTTCTCCTTGCTGGGAAACTAAGGTTGCTAGCTGATTGAAGATACTGCTCAGCTCATGAATAGTTGACTCCACGTTTTGAAGAGCTTCGGCTCTACTCTGCATGTAGCTGTCTTGAAGCGGAACCATTTGCTGTTGTTGGTTTTGTTGCTGATGTAGTAACGGCTGAGATTCCCCATCCACCTGATTCCTGTTACATGGTGCAATTAAATGTAATTTGTTTGTTTATGAGCAATCATTCATGTCAGGAATAATTTAGATGCAACAGTTTCGCTTCAAGCATCGATCAAACATCCTGCTAAACCAAAACCCAAATCACACCTATCTAGAGCATTGATGACATGCTAATTGTTATAAGGAAATCCAGGGACGTGTCAAAATTACAAAAAAAGACCAACTGACACTTCATTCTGCTTTTACTCTGATGGTTAACTGTAAGACTAATTATTGGGGCGGTGGATGGGTGGGGGGTGGGGGGGCATTTCACTTTATGAAACGAGGAAAATGTGAAATGGAGTCAAACCCCAGGGTATTCTGTAATTTCCAAAACTCATGGCAGTATCTGTGGTTATCCCTAATAATTATATCTAACCAACAGCATGTACTTTTTGGCTAACTTAAGAAGCGAGTCAAAATGTTCACTTGGATGCAAGTTCAGAGGATAAAAGATGAAAATGTATATTCAATTTGTGCTCTTACTTCGAAAGCATTTGAGAAGAAGGTTCTCTACTGCTCGCCCATGGAAGAGGAGGCGAGGATGATGTTCCGGCAGCAGACATTGTCGCCAAAGGGCGCTGACGAATGAAAGGGTTTGTAGGATTCTTGGAAACTGAGGAAGAGAACAACTGTCGCCTGTTTTCGTGGACTTTCAAGTTCTGTTTATATATATATATATATTTGGAAAGAGAGAAGGAGAAGGAAAAGAACAGAAAATGGAAGAGAAAACATTTAGCGTTCTTGACTTATATGGAAATGTTAAAAGTTAATGGATTCAGTGCCAGAATGGAAAAGTATAAAGTAGAGTTAATAGTCTTCTTCACCTCAGTTCGCATGGTTAGGACATCCTTGAACTCCTTTGTCGTGCTCATCAGACGATTTTTCAAATCATCAACAACTGTCGTGGAATGAGAGGTTGTGTCGGTGGATGTCTGCCCACTATCATTACGCGAGCTGCTGAGGAGCTGGAGATCGACCACTGCAGAATTAAGGGCTGTTATATCCTGCTTAATAACTGCAGTTAGCTCCTGGATTTCCATGGTGGGGTCATCAAAAACCGACGTCCTTTTTGCCACTGCAGAGAAAGAAATGTGTTATGTGTTCCTCAATTTCAATGCCGTCCACTAAAACAAATAAATAGTAAAAACAGAATCACTAAAAGCAAAAAATATGCATTTCTCAATATGATGAATGGACTTGGACCAATTTCGCCACCAAAAAAGATCAGAACATAGGTTAAAGGCCCTTTTAAAAGCTTACTATGATCTTGACCAAAACACGAGGCCTTTAAGTGTGATTATTCAAACACAATCAACATTTGGGACCTCAAGAAGAATGGATTTGTCCATCCTTTTGCAGCTACTTAAGACAAACTCATCAAGTTTGGCCGATTAAATTACAATACGAACACTTCTTCCATGAACAAATTATAGATCTAGAAAGAGTATATGTTTTGGTCATTCCACCTGGTATAGCTAAAGACATGCCACCAATAACATCAGTGTATATAATCAAAAGGAAAGAACAACTAAAGACATGCCACCAACAACATCAGTGTATGTAATCAAAAGGAAAGAACTGGTAAAAGACCATGCTGGGTATGTCAGCAACTCCACAAATTCTACAGAAACCGTATTGATAAACACGCCACGTTGCTGAAAAAACATGGCCAACCAACTTATTTAGCTAATTTCTGCATAGTCCGTTGTATACAATCCAACAAGCAATGCTCGATAATTGTACTTTCATTTTCCATCTAAGCCCAGAACCAGCAATTTGAAATCATAAGCACACAATCTTAATAATTGCTCAGTTTTTTTCTAATACATACGACACATCAAGCCCTAAGCTTAAATCATACCCACATTTTGCCAGCTTAGCGCAGAACCAACAAATCGAATCAGAAGCTCTCAGTTTGATTGCCCATTTTTTTTTAACACAAACAAACAAATCAAGCCCTGAACTGAAAACATACTCACATTTTGCGAGCTTAGCTAGCTTCTGCGACGTCTGATGAATCCCGAACCCGATTCTCGACGCCCTCCGGTTGAACTCCGACTGCAGAGCCACCGCCGACCGCGGCGGCGCCTCTTCCGGCTTCGATCGGCTGCTGCTCGGCCCATTCTGGGTGGAGGAATGCTTCTTTACCCTCTCCGCTATCCCAAAGAACTCCTGCGTCCGATCTCGAATAGGAGCATTACCTGTCTTCATCGGACTTTTCGCGGATCGAAAATTTGATCAACACAGCAATAGCATGAAAACCCAGATCAAATTTCCTTCAAACAAGATTCTCAGATTTTGATTTGATGCTTATTGTGAGGGGAAACAAATTGGGGCAAATTTGAATGGCTTAAACCCGGCAATTTTTCGAATGAAAATGAAAATGAAAGAGATGAAGCTCTAGATCTGTGAGGAATACAATCAACAGTGAAGATCATGCGGTGATATTAGATCATAAATTATATGAGGACCCTTATACTTACAAAATTTACACAATATACCCAATTTCATCACCACAGCCCACAAGTTATCGTTTAGTGAATTTAGGGGGTGATTGTTTATTGATTCAAATTAATTTTTAGTTGGTTTGTTTCTTAGTTATAGTTAATTTAAAAAAAAAAAATAGTATGATTAGTTGTTAGTAAATATATTAAAATAATATTTAAATAAAATAATTAAAGTTGATTTGATGTAAAGTAGGAGAAAAATGATTGAAAGTGATGGTTAGTTAAAATTATGTGAGTGGATGAATAATGAATTAAAGTTGATGTGATGTGTAAGAATGATTTATTGATATTATTTAATTATATTGATAATATGAAAGATAGTAAGGTTGAGTTATAGTTGAGTTAAATTTGAGTTTTGATTGGTTTTTTTACTGTACAAACTATAAACAATTGCCCCCTTAACCATTGATGACCGAGCTGACCAGATATATATTATTCTTATTATAATTATTACTATTTTTTTTTCACAAAACTATATGATACAAAATGTCTTTTTTTTTGTTTATATTAATTTTTAGAGTGTAACAATACTATGAAATTATGTATATTATTAATTGGAAATGTATGATTGCTTGGTGCATGCTTGGTTGTAGATTCCAATATATAATCACTTTTTTTTAACTCAAAATATAACTCAAAGTTAACGCAATCATGCCAACTTCAATATTATCAATATAATTAAATAATATTAATCTATTATCTTTACACATCACATTTTTTTAATTCACTATTCATTATCTCACATACTTTTAACTACTCGTCACTTCCAATTACCACTCTCATACTTTTATAGCAAAACAACGTTAATCATTGTATTTTAATAAAAACATAAAAGTCTCACTCGAACCTAACTCATCCATTTTTTTAAAAAAAATTAACTATNACAACCAAAATATCAAATCACCAACTTATTTTCAAGCACACCTTAATTTGGCGTTATGTCAGTCTAATGACAACTGTGCAATTGAATGATTTAAACTATATTTGGCAATGATTATCATAAGCTTATTCAGATAGTTTTTCAAAAAAGCTCGTTGAAAATTTTATTTCAGTTGGCTTGTCAATTTTACGCAACAATTTTATCACATCAATTAGTTCACTCATAAGCCGCTAAACTATAAGCTAAAAACTCACTTAAGTTGTGTTTGGTAAAATAAGTTGTAACAAAAATTCTATGGAGCCATCGGATGGTTTTCTTATGGAGCCATCCACCACTTAATTTATTAACACATGTCCAAATTGTATTTATTGCAGGATACGTGTCAATACACTATTGGTGAATAAGTGTGGATGACTCCATAAGTCGAGCCATCCAATGGCTCCATAGCAAAAATGAGTTAGCTGATATCTTATAAGATTATGTTTGAAAAATTACCGATAACTGATAAGTTAATTGATAGCTTATAAGACTATGTTTGATAAACTAGTCGATGAGTTAGCTAATAGTTTCTAAGTGAAGTTCGAGCTTATAGCTAATAACTTATGTTATAGTTGAAAAAATAGCTTATATGATAAAAGTGATTGATAAAATTAGTTGATAATCTAGGTGAAATAATGTGTGTATTTTAATTACAAATAGTTATTCAAAAAAAAATTTGAAAATGAATAATATAGTTATACCCAAACTACGAGGGCATAATTGTCAGTTCACCGCGAAATGGACACAAGAAAGAGCCCTAGCCTTTCCCATACTTATTCATTTCTGCTCATAATCACACTGCGTTTCATTTTCGCCAAAAACCCTTCCGCCGCCGACAACCACCGTCCGCCATGGTAAGATCTATGGTTCTAACACCTACACTTTAGCTATACTATCTGTTTAATCAATACCCCATTCATTTATGTGTGGTCTGATGCTATTTGTCGTGCATCTGAAATTCAGGCCTCAGAGAAGAAACTCTCAAATCCGATGAGGGAGATCAAGGTTCAGAAGCTCGTACTCAACATCTCCGTCGGCGAAAGCGGTGACCGTCTGACCAGAGCTGCTAAGGTAACTATTACGTGCAGTCACTCACGTTTTTTATGTCCACGCGCTGCATGTTCATTTGCGTTTTTTTGATATTGATTCATTGTATTGAATGTTGTTATATTCTCAGGTGTTGGAGCAACTAAGTGGGCAGACACCCGTTTTTTCCAAGGGTAAGATTTCAATTTATTGGAGATCTATTTTTTTGTTTTTTTAGCATGAATGACGAAGAAGATGGTTGTTTGCATTAAGCTGCTCGATGTTATTGCATTGAAGAATATGTATGTTTATGAGTAACTGTAGAAATTTGTCTTAGTATGCAATCTGATGTATAAATGGTTTGTGAATATGTGTTTTCCATTGATTGCATTTGTTTATTGGATGTTTAAAATATTGTTTAGAGTGCCAGACGCCATCACCGGGTGTGTTTGTGTGGCTGTTTTAAGTTTTGAATTTTAAATGGAAATGCTTGGCTGAGCTTTACATTCGTTATATGTTCTGAGTAGGGCTGTTATCGAACCGAACCGAACCGAGCTTAAGGTGTTCGAGCTCGAGTTCGATTAATTTTCGAACATGTTCGTGTTCGTTCGATTAGTAAACGAACAAAAAATTTTGTTCGTGTTCGTTCGTTTATTGGTTCGACACGTTCGTGTTCGTTCGTTTATCTAGTCGAACATGTTTATGAACTGTTCGAGTTGTTCGAATTGTTCGACAAGTTCGTGTTCGAGTTGTTCGACATGTTCGTGTTCGTGTTTTTTTAACTTTTTTTTTTAAATGTCATACAAGTTATTTTATTTATTATTTAATATCTATTCATATTTATATGTTCTATTATATATGTATATACTATATATAATATATAAAATTAAAAAATATTTGTGTTTTATTTAATATTTAATATATATTCATATTTATATTATATTATACATGTATATACTATATATAATATATAAAATTATAAAATATTTTTTTGTTCGCGAACGCTCGATTAGTTCGCGAACATGTTCGTGTTCGTTCGATAGCTAAACGAGCGTAATTTTATGTTCGTGTTCGGTTCGATTGCTAAACAAACGAGCTGTTATCGAACACGAACGAACTCGAACGAGCTTTGTTCGCGAACGTTTGGTTCGAAAAACAGCCCTAGTTCTGAGCACCTCATTTCAGTGCTAACCATTGTAAAACTCAAGTAACACGAGTTGGAAAAAGTGACGGAGAAAGTAAAACTTGCTTGAAATTTGTTCAATACATTCTTGGGTTATGCTGACATTTTGGTCTCCTATCAAGGATTTTCATAATTCAAGTCCAATGTTGTTCTCATACAGGGATATACTGTATCTGAATATGGTATTGTTATAAATTATGTCACATTGCAAAATGTAGCTTTTCCTTCACTTCAGCCTTGTACATGATGGGAGACAAGTGGATTGTCTGAACTCTGACCAACTTGTACAAGCTTACCCTTTGTTACTTATATACCCAGTTTACTACATTACTGATATGGTTATGCCTTTCAAATGACAGCGAGGTACACTGTAAGGTCTTTTGGAATCAGGAGAAACGAGAAGATTGCTTGCTATGTCACTGTTAGAGGTGACAAGGCAATGCAACTCCTTGAAAGCGGCTTGAAGGTGAAGGAATACGAGTTGCTGAGAAGAAACTTTAGTGAGACTGGATGTTTTGGTTTCGGCATTCAGGAGCACATTGATCTCGGCATAAAGTACGTAATCTTATTTGCGTGCCTTAGTTAAAAATCACTATTCTTATGTAAATTAGAATATTGAAATTATGCATCAGTGCTAAGGTGTGTGATTGAATATCAACCGAACTAAAAAAAAAAAACAATCAAAACTTAAATTTAACTCAACTTTAACCCAACCTTAATATCCTCAATATTATCAATATAATTAAATAATATAAATCAATTATCCTTGCACATCACATCAACTTTGGTTCACTATTTAATATTTATCCACTCACATAATTTTATCTACCTATCAATTCCAATTGTTTTTCTCATACTTTTACATCAAATAAACTTTAATCATTTTCTTTTAAATATTATTTTAATACAAATTCATAATCATACCCAAACCTAACCCAACAACTTTTTTATAATTAACTATGGTTAACAAAAAAATCAAATCGAAACCAAATTAAATTCATATCCAATCACACCCTAAAGTTCCCAAAGTTAATTTTATCTGGAAAATTATCAACTGTACTACAAAAGACTGCAGTTTTAAATTATATCCAGATGTATATAACCTTTCATATTTTTTTTTGTGTCTAATGAATGTTTTCAGGTACGACCCGTCAACTGGAATCTATGGTATGGATTTCTATGTTGTCTTAGAGAGGCCCGGTTACCGTGTGGGCCGTCGCCGTAGGTGCAAGTCGCGAGTCGGGATCCAGCACAGGGTTACAAAGGAGGATGCCATGAAGTGGTTCCAGGTGAAATACGAAGGTGTCATTCTTAACAAGGCATCCAATATTGGAGCTTAGTATGCTTTTTCATTTGTCCCAATTCTTTGTTTTGCTTGGAAAATGGTCTGTAGAATTTTGTTGTGGACAGTTTTTTACTTGGCTTTGTTTGAATTGCATGATGGTCTTTTATTGTGCTTTTATAGTTAATGAATGAACTAGCTGAGAATGTTATCAGATTTGAAAAGCTAGCCTGCCTTGTGTGCAATGATGTGATTCGATGCAACACCACACCGAATTGAAAAAACAAAAGTTGTGAAATTTTCAAATCGAATCAGTCTGCGATGCACCAAAAATCATTTAATGACAATTTCAAACGAATTTCTTACACTGAAAGCTGCATTGAATTGTTGTTTTTGGCTCCCAAGATTGATATTTATGCGTCTTTTTTCTGTAAATCGTGTTTTTGACTTGGGGCTGATGTTTCCATTGCTCTGTTGTGTTGTGCTTTTGATGAACTAGAGCATTATCAATGTTGCATTGTCTTGTTTTGATATCTACAATGTAGAGAAATGGTTTCAATGGTTAATATTAATTGTAGTATGATTTTTTTTTTTTTTTTCAAACGACAAATTAATATTAAAACTCATAAAACGTACAAGGCATAGTCCATTGACACTGCAACATCTATGCAACAGACAACAATTGAAACAGACCGGGCATAGATGATATCTAGCTCTAAGAATAACAATATCCAAACAATAAGCTTACAATACTAACAAACCAGCCTAAATCAACTCTAACACCTCCAGTTAATACCTCCTCTACCAGGTTTTTTGACATGTAAGGAATTTTAATTGGTTGGAAACGATCGAAATTAAATAGATAATATAATATAAATAGATTTATTCAAATTCTTAAAATAGGAAGTGTGAGTCTAATTAGGGCGTACTTGTTCATGAAATATTTCATTCAAAATAAGTTATTTTAGTTAACTAGAGTTAATTTTGAAAAAGTTGGTATAGTTAGTTGTTAGTGAGATTTTAACAATGTATTAAAATAATATTTAAAATAAAATGATTAAAATTGATTTGATATAAAAGAAGGAGATAAATGATTGAAAATGATATGTAGTTAAAATTATGCGAGTGGATGAATAATGCATTAAAATTGATGTGATTTGTAAGAATAATTGTTTTGTATTATTTGATTAGATGAATAATATTAAAAATAGTAAAATTGAGTTAAATTTGAATTAAATTTTAAGTATGAATTAAATTTTATGTATAAATTAAATGTGAATAAATTTTTTTATAACCAAGTAAGCCCTTAGCAAAACACTTTTGTTCATGTCATTGTGTGCAAAAGATGGTAAGGAAAGCTGGCACGTAGATAGGATTATTTTTCGAAAATAGAGGATAATCACTACACGTCAGCGCTTCAAAGTTTGTTTTATATTCTGGATAATTATCCAATAATTAGTTGTCGTGGCATTACTGAAAAACCGACCATTCACAGGTCTCCAATAAGACAGAGACGGGTGGCAGAGTGGGGGTTCCATTCGCAACTGTTACATTGGGACAACTTGGATAAAATCTAATGATGTATGGTATGCGTGGCAATTGGCATGCCTCTTTTTGTAGTGCGGTAGTTAAACCTAACTAGTATTCGGCATGTGCATTTACACAGATATATAAATAAAATATTGTGAGTTATTTGTATGCATATAATGATTAATGATTTTTGCTAAATTTACAATTAAATGAGCTGAAATCTTTATTTTTTAAAAATACGTTTTTCATATTGGATGTAATGTATATTTTGGTATGTATCTTTTGTTGTGAATTATTTGTTATTTATTTAGGGCTTTCAAATACGTTTTTTATTTCCAAAAGAAGTTAATTTAAATGTAACCACAACAATAACATCTACTCAAGTTAAATAGTCAACACATTATATGGTCAACCGTAAGTAAATAAAAAATTTAAAATAATTTTTGTAATTTTGAAGTGATTAGTGTTTTGATATCTAATAATTAAATGAGAGGTTAAATAAATAAAACAATTTTTCGATGAAAAAAACTATATTACCACATAGGTATAATTTAATAAGTTTTATTAAATACTAATGAGCCAGCAATTATACATATATATATATATATATTTAGGGTAATGAGATTTGCAAAAAATATTGGATATTTAATATTTAGTTTTTATTACAGTTATGAAATGAGAAGGAATATGGCATAGTTGATTTGACCGACTATAAATAATATTTATTTTTTATGAGTGATGAGATTTGCAAAAAATATGAGATATTTAATATTTAATTATTATTAAAGTTATGATATAAGAAAAAAATATGGGATGTTGATGCTTGGAATTTATATAAAGAATTTTTTAAAATTTTGGATTCCCGCATCTTTTTTTCAGATTTTCGCCTCCTATTCAGATAATTTCGAAACAGTAATTATCTCAACTTTTGGAATTGTAATTTGATAATTATAATTAATTGTTTTAGTTGATCTTTAATTTTGTCATTTTTGCAGGAATTGACCGGAGATGGAGCATCTGATTTTTTATTTTATTTTAAATTTATTTTTTTGGTTAGTTGTATTTGTTAATAATTAATTTTTTATTTATTTTCATTAATTTCGTTTAGTTTACTATTCATAGAAAAAATAATTTCGATTAAAAAAATAATTAATGAGAACTGTTGAGAGTAATTAATATGTTTAAAAAAATATGGAAACATTTTCATTTTCATTAACTCGTTATAATTGCAGAATTAATTGGTTGTCATTTTTAAAACACTCAACTTTTCAAGAAAATTGAGTTGTTTTTAATAAAGAAAATAAAAAATAAAAACAAATGAAAAGTAACGGAAATTGGCGGGAAAATGCCACCTAGGTATAATTTATGAGGTTTAATTAAATGCAGAAGAGCTAGTAATTATATATATATAGATTTTAAATGCACATTATATATGAAAAAAATAAATTAGAGAATAGTTAATAAACAACAAAATTAAGAAATTAAGCAACACGATTTCATCTAAGAGAACATTAAGTCTAATAAAAAATTAAGTTAAATTTGTTGTATCATGTATGTCAAATTGCAAATTTGAAAAAAAAATATCAATGAAGAAACTCTTTAAATTTTAACACAAAAGTCTATTTTTACGTTTCTAAAATTTTAAATGAAAGTAGTGTCAAAATTATTTATTTATTTTTTAAAATTATGTTAACCATACAAATTTTTTTAAATGTTGAAAAAAAAAACTCAATAAATAAACTCTTTAAATTTGAGCTCAAAAGACTATGAAAAGTAGAAAACACCGGCAAACGATCATCACCCACACACACACCCGCACAAAAACACACACACACAAGAGAAGTAAAAAAAACCACACATTTTTTCAGATATTTTTCGAACTCTCTGGACACCCCAAAAAAAATAAAAAATAAAATAATAATAATAATTAAATAAATATCACACGCCATCATCTTCCATCCCTCGTCAAAGCTGTCCCTGTCAATAACTTCTGTACGTCACCGTATATATATATATGTATCACGCGCTTATCCATCGCCATGTCCTGTCACAACCTTTCCTCATCCAAAGCTGAAATGTATCTCAATCACTCGCTGTATCTGTGAATCTGTGTCTGTTTGTTAGTCAGTCTGTGTGTGCACCCGGCGATCGGTTCCCGGTGGAGGAGATCGGAGGAGTATTCTTCGGAGGAGATCGGAGTTTAAAGTTCGTGATTTAGAAAGTTTAAATTATTATCAATTTCGTGAATTGGTATTGGTGTTATCATTTTTTATCTAACGTTTTCTCTTTTTTCGTGTATGATTTGTGTTTTTCGCGAACATATTCGGAATGTGTTTTTATTTTATTGTATTTTATTTTTTCTCTCATTGGAAGCATCATTAGGGATTTTTTTTTTTTGTTTTGTTAAATTTGGGTCTGGTGAGGTTGATGGCATTACTCATTTCGCAGACTTGGTACCCTATGGGGATTTGTGGTTGAGATGAATGCTTGATGTTTATGTATCTACTTCTTCGTGATGCATGAAGCTGTGTTTAACTGTCTATTGATGATTAGCTTAGTGATCCATTGCATCATTGTTTTTGGAATTTGCTGAATTTTTCCCCCCTGAGAATCCCGACATTTTCAGTTTCTAACTTATATTGAGCAGCGGACGGTACCCATCAGAGATGAGTCATGCCCAGACACTGAAGATTCTAATCCGAATCTAGTAACTAGTTATACTCAATTTTCCTTCTTCTTTGTTTCTTTTTATGGTTGGGATTGCAAGGGGGCAGCTCCTCCACTCAAGCTTTCTATTAGGAATGGTGGGGGTTCTTCTGCATAAATCTTTTGGAGGTGTGAGATGCGTAAATGATGAATCCAGGGCAGATATAAATGTGCGAAGAAAGTATTCACTCCTTGCCTTAGAATCAATAGGGTATACGTGGCATATATTCTTTAGTTACAAAGTTAACTGGATGCTTTTGGTGTTTTGTTTTAACGGATTTTGAGATTCCTCCTCAGATCAGAGTCACTGTGCCAGTAATGTCGACATCCCTCAGATATTTGCTTGGTTATTGTTTCTGGTGCTTCGTGGAATAATTTAGAATATGACTGGAAGCGAAGCATATCAAAGATGTAGGTATTCAGCTGAAAGTTTTAAGGACATGAGGATTCGACACTATATACTTAGATCAAGTTATGGTTGTTGATTTCAAAAGCTCTTCCATTTTGCCTTCTTAGGAGTATATATCCGTTTTTATATTTTCTTGTCATGCCCATTACTTCCATTTGTTAACTTCTCTGATGTTCAATTGACCTTGTTGCCATCTAAATCCGCCAATATTATTTATCACCCGACACTATCATTGGGCGCCTTAGATATATATTGGATTATAGTTGCATGTGGCCTAGGGCAGAGGTTCGCAATTATGTGGCTGTTGTCGTGTCGAGGAGTAAGTTACTGATACTTTATTGAGTGGATGAGCAGGTTCAAGATTCAACATCGGTTTCTACTTTAAAAGATAGATGAGCAGGTTCAAGATTCAACCTTGGTTTCTACTTTAAAAGATAGATTGTTAGGAATGACTAGGAAACAAGTTTCAGAGTTCTGAAGGTCTAGTGGTTCTTCTGTTTAACTTGTTATGCAGTGAAGGCAGAACCATGCAATATCCTCGATCGAGGTAGGTCTGTACTCTTGATGAGAAGGATTAGAACTTCTCCCTATAATCTTCTAAAACATCACAACTTTTTTCTTGTTTTGAAATGCGCATGATATTTTTCTATTGCTTTGGCAATAGGTTTAGCTGTCCGTCATTGGTGTACTGTCCGCAGCTTGGAGATTTGGAGTTCCAGAAAGCTGCGTGATTGTTTGATTGTCGGGATTCCCCTTATCGAACTTGCTTTCAGGAATCTCCTCATTTGGAGTTTTTGTGATTGGAGCTGTTCAACCCCTTGTTGGATTTTATTCTTGCTGATTCTGTTCCTCTTGGAGCAAAATGTGTAACAAATGCTGCATGATCTTGAGGGGTTCGCCCATCTGGAGGGCGACTAGTATAGCATGCACGGATAGGCTTAGTCTCTTCTTAAATTTGTTTATGAATGCAGGTACCTTTTTTTTACCATTGCCAAGCTTCTAGTTATTTGTTATTCCTCAATCTATCCGAATGGCATCTGTTGCTTTCGAGCACCCTGGCACTTCATGCTTTCAACCACAAACCCCACAAACTACATTAGCGGAAGAAAACGAGACACATAACAGAGTAAAGGCAGATGAGCCAGATTTGGGGGTTCCCCAGGAAGAGCAAACCCCAGAAAATCAGTTAACGGGTCAGGAAAAGGTCACTGGTGCCAAAACATTGGATAAGGGATACCTTGATTATGGGTACGACTTCCCAGATTTCACGTATCAACTGTAGTTGATGCTGCATTAGATGCTTTGATGTTAATAATAATCACTTGATTGACAGATGTGCCCATTACCGTCGGAGGTGTCGCATAAGGGCTCCTTGTTGCAGTGAGGTATTCAGTTGCCGACACTGCCATAACGAGGCTAAGGTACCCATAAAACTTTTTCATTGATTTGATTTCAGTGTGGTTTTTTTCTACTAGATTAGATTTAATATACAAGAAGAACAAAAAATGTGAAATGACCCAGAATTTTATGCTTATTTGTATGCAGAATAATATTCACATTGATCAAAAGCTCAGACATGATGTTCCCAGGCACTTGGTTGAGAAGGTAGGATTCCTATCTAGCTACCTGTTTTTTTAGGCTTTCTTTGCTGACCTCTGTTTATTTCGTTTGTGTTTAAATAAAAAAGATATCATGACGAAACCATTTGTTTGTATTTTGCAGGTCATATGCTCACTTTGTGACACTGAACAGGAGGTTAGTAAATGAATCAGTTATTATAGACATGCATGCATTTATGAAACTTTTTCAATCAAAGATTTATTTGTCAGAATAATGAGTGCAACTGAGTTTTTGGTTATAAGAACTGGCGTTGGTGTTCTGTTCCTTGGAGCCCGAGTTGGCAGAGTTTGGGGATAATTTATGGACACAAACATCTCTCTCTCTCTCTCTCTCATTCTAATTTTTGTCCCTTTATTTTCAGGTTCAACAATTCTGCAAAAGTTGTGGTGTATGCATGGGAAGGTACTTCTGCGGAATTTGCAAGCTGTTTGATGATGATGTAAGTGAGATGCGTTCTCTTGCAATAGAAATCTGTTAGAATACATGTTTTAGTTAGTGGAAGCACCATATGTGGCCTGGACAGTGAATTGACAAAGATCTGCAGATTAAAACTCGAACCATTATAAAACCGAGATAGTCTACTAACACATTTCTATATCTCAATTTGCAGACATCTAAACAGCAGTACCACTGTGATGGCTGCGGCATTTGCAGGTACTCTATTTCCCTGCACTTCATGTTTTGATCACCATGTGTTTATATAACTAAAGTTATTATTCTATTAGAGGATCATAGAAAAAATTACATGCTTTTCGCCAATAATGACAAACACCTGTAATTGCTGTTGCAGGATTGGGGGCTCTGATAACTTCTTTCACTGTTATAAATGTGGTAAGTATTTTTCTTACCTGTCGTAACAAGATGCCTGTAAACAGTTATTTTCTTCTCATGTGGTTTCTCTCATTAATTTAGGTTGCTGCTATTCTGCGCTTTTGAAAAGCACACACCCATGCGTGGAGAGGGCAATGCACCAAGACTGTCCTGTTTGTTTCGAGGTACAAATTTCAAATTTCATTTTTTTTTTCTTTTATATTCCTCATTTATTTCGAGCAATTATGTATAACCAAAACTCGTTATATGTAGTATCTATTCGAGTCGAGAAATGATGTCATTGCTTTGCCGTGCGGCCACACCATTCACAGGGCATGCTTGGTTGAAATGCAAGAACACTATCAGTAAGTCAGGATAAGCAATATCTATAAATGTGTCCTTGGATTTTTATTTTCTATATTTATAGCTCTTATAAAAAATTCCGCGCATTTGCAAATAGATACGCTTGCCCTATCTGCTCCAAGTCGGTGTGCGATATGTCCAAAGTGTGGGAGAAGTTTGACCAGGAGATAGCGGCAACGCCCATGCCTCCCGATTGCGATAACAAGATGGTAATTACTAAACTACCCCTGAGGTTTTAGTCGTATACTCGTACTGCAGAAGAGAGAAGAATATGATATATTGGGAAATCCTGTAATTACTTCTTTTGGATGGCAGGTTTCGATTCTTTGTAACGATTGTGGGTGCAACTCGGAAGTGAAGTATCATGTGATGGGACACAAGTGCTTCAACTGCAAATCTTACAACACACGTCAAACTTGAGGGCTCGTCTGTTAGATAGAAAAATGTAGCTGTGTCTGGATATTAATGACATTGTAATTCTGTTTTCCTGATCTCAGTTTCTCAGGGAAAGTGAATTTAGATTATAGTTGTATTATGTATAACAAATAAGATTAAACTTGTTATTTTCTCTGATTGATTAGTGTATTTTTTCTTTCAGTGCCAGTCAAGTTAAGTTAGGATGTGAAGGAGTACAATATTTCAAAAACAATTAGTTAATGCTGTTTTTCTTTTGCTTATGAGTTGTGAGGGTTTATCTTCATTCACTAATAGAAAGGGAATGGAAATGAGCTTGTACTTAAGGTCGTTCACAATACTGTTAAACATTGTTGCATGTTTGTATCTAATTTGTTAATATAACTTAAGGGAATCAAGTAGTCAGGATGGCCGAGTGGTCTAAGGCGCCAGACTCAAGTTCTGGTCCTCGTGAGAGGGCGTGGGTTCAAATCCCACTTCTGACATTTTTTTTTTATAATTTTTTTAAAGATTTCCTGCTTATTGCTTTTGTATTTGTTCTTCATATGATGAAATACATATATATTTTCGAAAATCTATGTGAGAAGAGATTGTATTCGTGCAAACTTATTCATTTTCTTTTTCTTCCTATTTGTGTATAATTTTTCAAAGAGATTAGAAAGTGTTTAGATGTGGCATAAAATGTTTTTATGTGGTGAAACAAGCAAGCAATAGTTTAAAACACATTACTATAGTATATTACTATACTGCTCTATTTCATACTTACAATTAACAAAAATTACAAAAATCTAGTATAATATAATAAAAAACAGGTCTTGTATTAGGACGATCTAATCATTAAAAATTTAAATATTTTTAACTCAACTATTTTTTTTAACTCAATTTTAACTCAACCTCACTATCATCAATATTATCAATATAATTAAATAATATCAATCAATCATTCTTACACACCACATCAACTTTAATTCACTATTCATTTACTCATATTATTTTAACTAATTATCACTTCAAATCATCTCTCTCATACTTTTACATCAAATCAACTTTAATTATTTTATTTAAATATTATTTTTATATATACCCACTAACAACTAATCATACCACATTTTTCAAAATTAATTAAAAAACCAGAAATTCCAAATAAATCCAAAACTTTTTATATCCAAGCATCCTCAGCCGACACACTTTTCACAAATCTACATACTTTCGTTTGTAAATGTCATACTTTAAAAAACATCATAGACAAAAATATGACAAAGGATGATATTTGATGGTATACGTATGTATTTTTATCGAAAGAATATGACAGGTCGACCCACCTAATGGTTAGCTGTCTCACACAAAGATTTATAAATAAAATACCATTATCAAGATACATGTTTAAGATAAAGAAGTGTACTTACTATTTGAAACGTGCAGAGTAGGTTCACAAGGAACGACCCCAAAACTTGGATGGCCAAGTAGTTTATGTTTGCGTTTGTCTTCGTTTAATAGACAAGTCGGGATGACAAGGCTTGACTAGGTTAATAAATAAAAAAAACTTAAACGAGTTATTTGCGAACATAGAAATCTTTGACCAACAAGTTTTAATGAACGCCTTCATTTTTCTATAAATAAAGCAAGTTGTTTGCAAACCGGTTCATTTATAGCTCGTTTGTTAAGGTAGATAAGACTAGATTAGGCCCCTTATCTTGCCCGAAACCTGTGTTTGTTACCCAAGATTCTGGCCCGCTAGATTAAGCATGGCCCGCCACTAAATCTGCTTTAATCTCGATTTCCACCGATTAATTAATCTTGGGGAGGAAGTGTGATTCAAAAAATCTGAACAGGAACTTTGTGGTGAAAATACTACAATATCCCCTATATTTTATTTTTCTGACCATGATGACCCCTTATTTAGCAAAAACTACCAAAAAAACCAGTCTCTACTTTATACCATATCTTGTCAGCCAAAATGCATTATTCAATTTCTGAAAAAATAAAAAATGCATTATTCGATGCTTTCTTTCCCTAAATTTGAACTCTCTTATGAACTTTCCGATCTATTAATTGCGAGGTACAGAAAACTTTTCTTGCAGTTATCTTCTTCTTTGAACCATTTTTCTTGCAGTTATCTTCTTCTTTGAACCATTTTTTTTTTCTACTTTTTGGTTGTAGAGTATTCACGGGCGTGCCATTTTTTTTTCCTAAAAAAAGACCTTCATGGGACCATCGTTCACCGCAATAGAGGTAGACTATATGATAATGATAATGCAAAAAAATAACCGACGGTTGTAAAAAAAATCAAAACATATAACTCAGGCGCTTTGTGTATGAATAATTCATGATTACAAAGTTTGGAGTGTAAACATCTTATGTGAACTGCAATAAAAAAAAAAAAAAGGTGTACAAAAAGATGAACATGAGGCTTAGGTTCAATTTGCGCTTGAGAAAGGAATCCCAACAATATCTGCGGTTATGGGTACGAAGAGACTTCCGATGTTGTTCATTGTGCACGTTGTAGGGTGCCATGGCATATTGAATACTATAGTTCCGGATTTCATCAACTATGAATTACATTCATAAAATACATTGATTATTTGTAATGTCATATTTCTTATATTGAATGGACATGGTTCGTTCTTTAATGTGCTGTTTAGGTGGTAAGCTTCTCTTGGAGCTCAACCGTTCACTGCGACCTGGTGGTTTCTTTGTCTGGTCTGCAACTCCCATTTACCAGAAACTTCTAGAGGATGTTGAGATATGGGAAGGTACTTCTATTCCAATTTATCAGAAGCTTAGTTTTTCTTAGACACTTAGACAAACAGTTCATTTTCATGTTTTATTTGCGGGGCAGCCATGAAGCAGTTGACAAAAGCATTGTGCTGGGAAGTTGTTTCGATAACCAAGGACATAATAAATGGAGTTGGAATCGCCTTGTACCGAAAGCCCACTATAAATGAATGCTATGAACAGAGGTCGAAAAATGAGCCTCCTCTATGCCAAGACACTGATGACGCCAATTCTGCTTGGTATGCCTTTTTATTTCGTCAATGGGAACATTGCTTTTGATTTGTAGCTGAAAATTTGCTTGATGTTTTGTTAAAAGCAGGAAGCTAGGATTCTATTTTTTACATTTACAAGTTTGTGTTAATATTTTATAATGATCAGGAATGTGCTTGCAAGCATGCACAAAGTTACGTTCCTGTAGACATCTTATGTGAACTGAAAAAAAAAAGTTGTTAAAAAAAATTAAATCGATGACAACAAAAATAACGTTTGTGTAATAGATTTTGGCTTTATAAAAAACTATGTGGGAGAAGGAAGAGAAAAATAATTAAATTAATTATTTTGGACAAATAGGTAAATATACAATTTATCTTAACAATAGTCCTATGAAACAAATACATGACAATTACCAAATCTTATCTTTAGTCAATCATACTTAACAAACTCATTATGAATCAAATCTCTGCAATGCAATCTTGTTTAATAAAATTATATTTATTTTATCTTGTCTACTATAACAAACATGCCCTTAATAAACAATCTCGATCAGTTGTTTATGTTCATCTCGTTTCAAAAAACAGACTGGTCGAGCTCGATTCTTACGAACCGAATCGAGATGTGTTTGAGTTCTACGAATGACGAACTAGTTGGAGGGCAAAACGGGAAGAAAGGTGCAACCTCGAAGGATCTTAAAATACTTCTACTGAGTTCTACACGACGCCTTCTCCTAAGGAAAGATAAATATATAATAAAATAATTCAGCCCTCTCTCTTTCGTCTCCTTTCTCATCAGGGCTCGAAGTAGCAACCCAATCGGTCAATCAATCCCCAAATTAACTTCGATTCAGCCATCGCAAAATCCATGGCGACGGTCGCAGCCACCGGAGGAAGTAAAGAGGTGCGGCGCCGCCGTATAATCGAGCGTGGAGCAGACCGATTGGCGCTCATCACCGGCCGCATCCAATCCCTGCCCCCGGACCCCGACACCGACCAATCACGTCCCCCCGCCACTCCCCCTACTCAAATCCCCTCCGGTAGTCTCGCTAACTTCTGAACAATGTGTGCTTTTGTTTTGTGTGTGTGTTTTTGTCTGCTCTCGGAACACTGATTTTCTGTTTCTATATGTGAAATTTCGTGATGAGCCTGTTGGGTTCTCTGTATTTGAGGTTTTGCTGCATTCTTGATGTTCTAGGGGTTTGAAATGAGCACAGTGGGTCTTATTCTTTCCGTTTTCGTTAGTATTGAATCGTGATTTCGTAGTGGGTATGAAAATATATTCAGAAAGATGACTCTGATCAATTGATTATACTATGTCACAAACAGTTCTGTAGGCAGAAGCATTTGTTCTTTTTCGCTTGTTGGGTTCTGTCACTTTTCCATTTTTCCGTAGTTCAATAGCACATAATCAGAGTCCTGTCCAGGGGAATTTCTTGTAGATGTATGGTAGATCTCTTTCAAAGCTATAAACATCCGGTTTGTATTAAACATAGTTTCAGAGCCAAGTTCTATAAAAAATCATTGCTAAACAAAATGCATCTCTATAAAGAACAGGGCTTTTTGGTAGCTTGTTTTATCGGAACCTAGCTTATTCACAGCCATGGTTTCTGTATAAATAATCGAAACGAAAGCTGCAAGTGTGTGTACATATAATTTCTCTTGAATGCTACTTCTTACTAACGTCATATTTCAGATGCCGTTAAGCTTGAGAATGCACTCTCGGATTCGCCACCATTGCCAAATCTTGAAGAACCTAGCCAGCGCCATACTCTTGTCGAGAATAAAGAGCCTTCGCAACAAAACAGTACAAAAGGCAAAAATATTACGTCTAGCCCATTGGCCCTCGAGAAAGAAGAAACATCTGAAATCTTACAAGAACAATCTCAACTCTCATCATCCACACAAAGAACTCAGGTAGACCAAGCTGAACCTAGGCAGCGTAGCCCATTTACAGCTGCTCATATTTCGTCTGCAATTACAGCTTCCGAAAATATCCGTATGTGTTGCTCTGTAGCAGCTGCAATCTTAGTAATCTTGTCATATGTCAAGTTTCCGATTCTGGGTGGGGATATTATTAGGAATGTCGTAACTTTCAAGCCCCTCTATATGCTTCTACTGACAAATATATCGATTGTACTTGCTTGGCTTATTTTGGGAATACAATTAAAGACTGGAAGGGCGAGCAGCGTTCCAAAGTTTGGTGGTAATGATATGGTCGATCGGCTGGGGGAAGTTCTTGAAAAGGGTTTGCTGATGCAGAAAATATTAGAGGCGATGTTTATGGACTTTGGAATTTATGCAGTTGTGCTCATCTGTGGTCTCTCATTGTTATAAACACTAGGGTGGTATTTTTTTTTTTTTTTAGTGGTTAAAAAATGCAACGATGCTGCTTGGGCTTGGGCTAACATTTGCACTCCACCAGCCTTGTAAGGATTTTGGTTCAATTGGATGTCCGTGAATGAATGAATTTGTGTAATCCGTTATTTCTTTTCGCGTTGCGTCATTAATGGATAGCAAGTGCTTGAGTTGAGGTTGAGTTATTTGTAGGCTCGTTGATCAACAGAAATATTTGTTTGGCCTCTGTGATTTTAGATGCTACTAAGGATAATGATTTGATGCCATTGAGGGTCTTTGTGGGGATCTTGCTTGATATTTGATTCTGTGGCCTTTGCAGTCTCTTTACGAATTTGTTGTCGTCTGGAATATAGCAACTAATTCTACTATGTTTTCTTGTCAAAGTTTCTATTCAGTTTATAGATTTTTTTTTTCTTTGTCACGTACTTACAGTTGTAATTGATATTTATGACAGAAGGTTTAACATGAATCGAATCTGAGTAATGTTCAGGCGTATTTGAGTTTTCATTCAGTTTCACAATGGGCATATGAACCGAGTATAAATGAGCTTCTTAGTGATGTAAATGATATTTGCTGTATTAAGAAAGCTAACAAGACATTGTAATGTCAAATCTCATCAAATAGGTAACAGCAATCACACATCAGAAATCACATTCTGGACAGACTGGACTCATGACTATCATTTTCTTCACAAATTGGTGATTTTTTTTTTGGGTTTTCACATGAAGTCTTCTTCCAGTTCCTGTAGAGATTTGTTGGTAGAGGCTATATCCTTGTTAGAGGTCATCTTATCTGCCACCATTAGATTTTTGTAGCTCCTTAACTCGGCTTGTTTGTCTTTTTCGAGCCTCTCCAACTCTTCACGACGTTTCTACAAAACATTTTTCTCACAAATATTATCGACAGAAAATATTTAGAGCCATTTTTTGATCACTAGTGTTCTGCAAAAAAGTTCAGGCTTTTATTAAATGAGATCGCGAGGCTTACTTTGTCCCTCGTCTGCTGCTTCCTTTCGGCCTTCTCAGCCGCATTAACTGCCTCCCTTTCAGCTGAACAAAAAAATAAAGAAAAGAAAAACGAGTCAAATTATAATGCTTGACGATATACTAGAAAACTCAATATTTAAAAATGGATGTCTCAACTAAATACACGGGAAATCTCTGTTAATTGGTCACATTTTATTCACGAAATGACCTTTGAAATCTGGATGTCTCTCGACCTTTGTCTTGTTTAGCCGATTAACTATCTCATTTATCCGCTTTTCGACTCTCACTGTCCGAACCTAAATCAAGAGAAAAAGAGAGAAACAAACTTTGATTAGTGTGCTCAATGCCAAATACTCTTTAAAGCAGCTCAAAGAATGTATGAAAGAAAAACTCACTGTTTTTGAGCTGTGAAAACCAACTTGCCCAACATCCATAGATGGAGTTTTCTTCAGATTTTGCCAGGGAGTGTAAACGACATCCACATTGTTCACTTTGTTTCCTGTCAAGATTTATAATAAAATAACACATTAGAAATGACGAAGAAAAGAAGAGAAAATAAATGAACCAAGAAATGTAGCAATCATGAAACGAATAAAAAGATAATAAAAAGATCGAATATGCTTGTTTGGTGAAGTGATTCACACGTTTAATGCTACATTTTTAAGAAATATATACTTTCCTTGGATCGAGTTTGCTTTGACTAGTTGGGCAGAGTCTTCCAATACACCTTCAGGTATATCATCAATGGTTTGACCCTTGTGCAGTCTTAGATAAACATGGGCAGAAGACATTTTATCCACGTGAAACCTAAAACATCATCTCTGTTAGAAAGTGCATTTTCAAGAATCTAAATTAAATTTAAATGGCTACCATTACAGAATATGGCTATGCACACATAAGAGAATTACGGCACTTAATTCGTCTTTGATCCGCAGCTTAAAAAATAACAGGTCAAGCATAAAACATGTTCCAAATGCAGAAACCTAAATTATATCACAGAATTAAGATTTGTACAAGTCATTACTTCTATTAGAGGTTTTTTTTTATAAAAATTCAAGATTAGAACATTAGCTCGAAAGTTCAAATCCTGTTTCGAGCAAGTACATAAATTCCTACAAGAAAACACAATAAGAAAACCCACGTCAACTTCTACTCCATAGTCATCAAAATTGGTGTCACCCAACCAAATTTCTTTGTATCTTTTTTCCCCAGAAAATCACGACACAACAAACAGAATAATAAAATTCACCTCCATGAACTGATTGCTAAAAAGATATAAAAAAATTGTCTTCAACAAATGCAGCATCTTTTTACTTATTTTCTTTCCCATTTCCACTCCGTGAAAGTCACGAATTTGCTAATTAGATAGAGATCAACTGCAATACAAAACCCAGTTGAATATAACACCTCCCAATTGAAATTGATCAGTAAAAGTGACCGTAAAATGAAGAGAAAGTACCAAATATCTTCCGGTAAGCCGAACTGGATGAGCTCCTCGTTCTCATACTTGTCTATGCCCATGAAAATGGTGTAGTCTCCAGCCTCTGGCCTAGCCTTGAAGTAGAACACCATCTTCTTCCTGTTCTTTTCACTTTCTCTAGGGTTTCGATTTTAATTTCCCGCAATTTCGTCTTATCTGTGATTTTGGATGTAAAGGTATGATGATGAAGATGAACAACGTAGCGCGTGTGAAAAATACAATATTTATTCTATTTTTTTATATAAAAAAAAAATACACAATATATTTGAAGCTTAAAAATGCAATACTTGGCCATTGCATTTTTTTGAAAATGCAATATTCATTCTATATTATTATTTTCTTCTCATCTTTGTTGATATAAATTAAAACTAAAGCTTAAAAAAAAGTAAAAAATAAAGCTCTAATTTTATATTTTTATCTTATAATTTCAAGAATATCCTTTTTTTTTTCTATCCATTTTGTCATGTTTAAAAATTGAAAAGATTATTATACTTTTTCAATTACATATAAATCAATAACAAATCTAATTTATATAGATGTTAAATATGTAAATAATATAAAAAACTTATAAAAGCTAATATTAAAAAGAATATTCTAAAAACATACTTTTGAATTTAAGAATGAATATAATAATTGAAAAAAAAAAAATTACCGCATTTTGTATTTAAGAGTTTTTCTGTTACCGCTGGTTTTATATGGGAAAAACTGGGAGAGAAACAGATGAGATTGAGTTATGTAAACCATTCCTCTTGCAAGAGAGTGTCTTTCTCAATTTCCAAAAGGTCACCAAAAATGAACTCAGCCATTAAAACAATTTAAACACACAACATAAAGAGCAATCTCCACACTCCACTCCTAATGTACACACACTACACACACACACTAAGAAAAATCACTTAAATTTTACAAAAGGCTCTCATTTGTTTACTTCAAGGCATGGTGAGTTTGGAGAGTGCCGATTGAAACAAGTCCGAGAAAGCCTGTGTTGTGCTCTGGTCATCAGCTTTGACCTTTAGCTGCGCTTTACACGAAGACGAGTTGATTACACACTCGACCAGATAAGCCGACGAGTCCTCTGCTCTTTGTGCAAAGAAAAAGAACTTGAAATTCGGGGATTGGCCACCGGAGGCTATGCAGTGTATGTAATAGGTTTGCATGTGTTGGGGAAGAGCCTGTGGGTTTGCCATTGCTGCAACTCCTCGTGGATCGATCGAGATATCCTAAAAATTAAAAAAATAAAAATTATTAACATTGATGTTATATTGTAGAATTTTAGTTTTGAGTACAAGTCAGAAGAATATCTCAGCTGTTTATGAATGTAGCTATAAGTGAAATTCTCTGAAGTGTAGAAATCGAATACTTCACGTATTTGCGTAAGACCATCTAATGGAATGCATTACATCGTTTTCATTTAGCTCATTTGCTAGTCGTTTTTGTTCTTTCTAGTGTTTATATTTTCTGTTTTCTTCAGTTTTTTTAAGTTCAGTTATTTCAGTTTTCTGTTTACAATTATAACATATATATTCATCGATCGTTTAAAATCTGGTTTTATGCGGCTTAGTCTAAAAGGCCAGATGGTCCAAATACAAGACTTGCACTATCATATAACAAATATAAACGTAAAATATACGAAAAAAAAACCGAGGAAGGTACAAACCAGGGTTATGGAAACTGGCAGCTGGCGCCACTTTTGCTGAAAAACATTCGGATCCACAGAAGCCTTAGCACTAAGAACCAAACTCGGTGGGCCCGGATTAGGCCCATCACCCGAAATCCCTAGACCAAGAAGCTCGTCAATCGCCAGGCTGGCACCTGTCTGACTTACGGTGATTGGCTGGTCCAGGGACACAAGGTCCATTAGACCACCACCAGGTTTTGCCGCAAGATTACTATTATAAGAAGGGCCATCATTTGCAGAACCATTGTTGGCATAACCGAGACTCTCTTCCTTCTCGGAAGTGCTCAAAAGCAAGTCTTTATCGTTTGCCTCGACTCCTTGGGCTATTGCCATGCTGTCATCGGGTTCAGCAGAGATTGACATGTTGACGAGCCCATCCGAGAAGGCAAATGGGCCCCGGTGTTCCTTGTCAGTGAACATGTAGGATGGCTGGAAAAAAAATAGGGAAAATAAAGAGCTTTCGTTAGTTTATACTTGTGCTTTGAACCGTGCATCGGTGATTTTAAGGATAAATTGAAGTTGTATATGTAAGAAAAAAGTATTTGAAATAAAATAAAAGAATTCAATGCTATTAACCACCTTAAAATCTCGTCATACATTTTAAGTAAACGAAATATGTAAATGCACAATAGATCATATAATAACCTCTTCTTTTAGATAATTATTTTTATGTAAATATAATGGATCACATATATATATAATTTGTATATAATTTGGATTGCAAATTGAATATCGATTGTGTATTTGATATATACGGTATGTTAAAAATGTATTAGGAACACAGTAGTTATTAAAGTTTTAAAATAATTCCATCATATCCTCATTTTCCAACTAAAAATGAATGTGAAAATGGAGAATCCACTATTTAAGACTTCTCCCTCTTTGTATATATATAGAAATAGATATAGGTTTGGTCCTAAGTCCACGGTTTTGTGTGTGTATATAATAGATAGGGGGAGTTAACGATATTAGCGCTGAGTTATATCGTAATCACAAAAAATTCCAGTTAATTAATATNGAGAAGCTATATACCTATATATTAAGGGAAATGCTATAAGTACATAATATTGTACATAGAGGTGTACATAACACTCACATTAAGTGGGTCCTACCAAATATAAAAAATCAAGTGGACCCCACTTCATGTGAGTGTTATGTACATCTCTATGTACATTTATTATGTACTTGTAGCATTTTTCTTTAAAGTTTTGCAGTCACCCCATTGAGATTCTCAGTCAAACTTAATAGATGGCTGTAAGACGATTTTATATGGCATTTCAGAATCTCAATAGGGATTGAGAAAGGTTGGTACCTTTTGGTACACTACAGATAGAGTGTTGAACTCGTCAAAAATGCGATCTTTAATCTCGCTACTCTGTGTGTCTGCAAAAACTGAAACAGCTTGTTTTGGAGGATTTACAATGCGCTCGGCTACAGATACATCATACTGCAAAAGCCTGTAGTAGAACAGAGCCCTATCACGAACATCCTGCAGCAAATCGGAATTTGGTATCCATTCTGGAATTTACTAAAAATAGTAATATTTAAGCATGATACATTAAAATTTCCATGAAAGTCGCGTTTAACAAACCAAAAACCTGATGAAAGTCAGCAAGACCAGCAGAAAGAGCTGCTCCCAGAGCCTTTTGAGTCTCTGGTGGCCTTCTCAAGAAACACTTCATTACTGACGTTAAGAGATGCAAACGGACCTGGGCAGTATATTAAACTAATCACTTGAATGCCAATTGATAAAAAAAAAAAAATTGAAACTAAGGCATTACCACACCCATTGGTTAATTAATGCTAGAATCAAACGAATATTATCAATTGGAACTAGAATATTTTTGGATCCTTCACAAGTTGATGCAATTATGCAAGCTGAACAAGATCATCCCCAACTAGTGAACTAAAGTATAAAAGAGTGAAGAATAACAAGCGAACTGTGCCAATTACCTCTGCAGAATGTTCCTCATCCCAGTTCTCGATAAGGCTCTCTAAAATGTAAGGACTGTCTTGCATATCCTGAGCATATTCCCCGAGCATCCAAATAAGAGCTGCCTTGGCTTTCGGCTCCTGAATATTTTTGCTGCTGATATTCCCTACAACTGCTATGCAATCCTGACTCCACTGAGGATATTTCCTTAGAAGATCCTTGACAAGAACCTATTCCAAAAATTTTATTACTATATGAAACGTAACATAGTAACAATACGACATTGATTTTTCTATTTTTTTTCCTTTTTTACAAGATTTAGGACAGAGAAAAAAGAGAATTGCATACGAGAGTTTCTGCAGTCACATGGTCCTTTTCCATTTCCAGAAACTGAAGCAGCCGATCAACAATGGCATTCACATCATACTGTTGCAACGCGATTTTGCCAACTGCTCGGATAGATTCTCTTGCCATTGGAATATCGACATTCGCAACATATTCACAAAGCTCGGTCACTGGATTGGAGCAGAAGGATTGAGCATTAGGAAGTTGATAATTTCTTTGTTTCACGGAAGAAGTGCATAAATAGTAAATACTCATCTTACCAATTTCATATGTATTGCTATCATTAGCCACGGCAGTGAGCATGTCAAGCTTCAGTTTCTTGACGTAAAATGGTTCGTTATACTGGCAGTAGAAGTGCTTGTAGTCCGAAGCGAAAATAAATGGTGCACGAATCACCAGTAGATGAAGGTGGCTCAAGACTGCAAATGACTGCTCTGGACTTCCTGAGCTTACCAAGGTGAGGAGAGGAGCTTTAATGCGCTCATAAACCTGACCCAAAGATTAAAAAAATAAAATAGAATCACTATAATCTAGATATGAACGACCACTGCAAAAGCACAATTCCCTGATGAATTGAATATACAAAGTTACTAAAGTACAGTCTAAAAAGTATTGTTAGGCACTAATGAGCTATTTTCCTACTTTTCTTCTTCAGCTAGTTATGGCAGGTTAGACTTCCCTTTTCTTTATGGCATTTTTTCATGACAACATTAATATAACAACCATGGGCATAATTCGTGCATTTGTTCCGAACATGTGCATTTGTTCCGAACATTTGGCAGTTGGAACGGTTTAAAGATGCATCGTTGCAATTTTTATGGGTTAATTTATGCTAAGCGGCTACTTTTACTAATTTTTCCTTCTTTTGCTAAAAATCTAACTTTAGACAAGTTGTATAAATAATCTATATTTATATAATTCATTTGAAAACAAGTTTTAAAATTCATATTATTTTTACATACTCGTGCATGTACACAAGCGTACTGGTTAGATGATAATTGATGATGGAAAACATAAATTACCTGTTGATGAACATCGGTCATGGACAAGGTCATATGTAAAAAAACCTTAATAGTGGCCAAGACAACTGCACTATTTGCATGTTGAAGTCTATCTTCAAGAAGATTCATGATGTCAAAGATCTCATCACTATCCGAAGGAACATATTTAGAAACCAGCTCTAACACAATACATTGTGCCCATTCACCGAACTCCTTAATCCTGCACCCACCAAATACCAAGTTAAGGAGTTCTTTCCAGAAAGAAAAAAATCCAAAACATGAAAAAACATTGTTGCTCGTCACATAATTATGAGTATAAAAAGCATAAACAAGTTTGCATATTCTCTCACCTGACTATAGAAAATGAATATGACATGGAAACTACTGAACAATGCCTACTCATACCTGTTCAAAAAGTAATAAATAACAGACTTGCTAAGCAATGATTCTCTCTCCTTTGCCGCCTCCTCGGAAGTAGCTGCTTCCAGACTCCAAATCTCTTGTAGAGAAGTTAAACAGTTCGCGACCACCTGTTTTCAAAAGGGACATACTATTAAAGGGGAACGGTAACTAATCTAATTAAAATATTCCCCAATTATTATTTGTGGCAGCACATATTCTTTACAAAACAGAAAGTCACATCACGAGAAAGCCCCTGCTGTCCTATGTGAACACTTTCTCAATGTTTTACCTAAAAAATTTCAATTTTCTACCACAAAGCACCAAGCATAGCCACACAGCTTTTTAATCAAATATCATCATATCGGAAGGTATCACCAAAAACTACCATTAATGCACTTTACAATCGATTTCTTGAAAAACAAACAAACAAACAAAAAAACGACCAAACCTTAGCATCTTTATCTGTAAGCATCAAATGCTTAAGCAGGTCCGGAAAATCCGCATCCAAGCAAGTCGAGGCCGAAATGTGGTACAGCTTTAGCACACCAACAGCAGCCACCATCCTCACGTAGCTATTCCCATCTCGCAGCCCGTTTCCCAGCGGGCCCACAAGATACTCCACCAAATTAGCCACGCCAAGCGAGCACAGGCTCCTCAGGGCCAGGCCTCGAATCATGGGATCCTCGTCCTTACAATCTCTCTGGAGGAAGTTTATGGTGAGGAGAGCAAGGTCGGGATTGTGCTTCGCGTAATTTCCCACGTACAAATAGCACATCTTTTTCAGGACAATATCTGAAGTGGCCGAGCACATGACCATCTCGCTAAACACAGACGACACGTCTATCCCGATGGTCATGTAGGAGATGACCTTCTTGAAGAGGTCTCGTTTGGTGTCATCTGTGCCCGGAGCTCGGCTGCCCGCCAGCTGGCGGAGCTGCATTTTGAGGTCGGTGACCTCTCCCTTTCTGGGGTGTGTATCAGAAGAACAAAGGGTTAATTATCTTTTCAAGAACTCATTCTTTTTTTCATCCTTGTTTTGCAACTTCTATGAAACCCAATGCATAACATGAACAGTGAAGAGCCACTGGGTACGAATAATTTCCTTGCTTTTTTGCAAATTTGGAAACAATTAGTGGGCTTGTTGAGCGCAATTTCCCTCTGTATAACACTATATTGATAGATTTTAAGACGCAATAGTGTAATACGATAATTTAGACCTCCTCGTATCGGGAACTACAAATCTCAGACAATCACAGAAATTTATTGACCAAACTGAATTCGTGTGATTTACAGTAAAATGTGGTGTATTCGAGCTCCGTGCATCAATTTGTTACACGAATTTCAAACAGAATTCAACAGCGGCAAAGATAAAGTACGAAAATGAAAAATTTTGACAATTTTTAAGAGTATACCCCGATGGCTGAGAAGGAGATGGGTTCCGACGAGATTGAGCTGGAGGTGCCATGGCCTGCTCTCGTTTTCTTCAAATCCGACAATCGATTCAACGCTGTTGTATGAGATGGAGAAACATTAGCGTCTGTAGAGCTAATGATAATGGATCTCAGAGTGTTGAGTTCTGAACTTCTGATCGCAAAGGTGAAAAAAATCAGTATTAACTGTTTGATATTATTTATTTATTTATTCATTTTACTCTCATCATTTTCCAACAATCTCACTTTCTACTTTCTAGTGTTTATGTTTGTTAGGTAATACTAACTTATGTTGATAGCTTATAGTTTATGGCGAAGCTTATAAACAAGTGCTCGAGCATGAATTCGAGTCTTTAACGAGCCGCGACGATTCGAGCTCGACTCGTTCTGAAATCGAGCTCAAGCTCGGCTCGTTTATCACTAATGACGAGCTGAGTTTGAGTCTTAACGAGTCGATCTTGAACTTTAATGAACTGAACTGTAGAAAAGTATATAAAAATTTTCTTTTCGAGCTGAGTCGAACTCGACTCGCTAACCAGACGAGCTTTAAATGAGCTCGAGCTAGGCTCGTTTATCAAACGACTCGAGCTGAACTCGAGCCTTAACGAGCCGAGCAGAGCCGAGCCAGACTCGTTTATTTAACAACACTACTTATAGCTTATATAACTTATAGCTGAAAAACTAGCTTCTATGATAAAAGTGTTTAGTAAAAATAGCTAATAAGCTAGCTGAAATCGAAATTTCAACGAGCTTATTTGGAAAGCTACTCATAGAAGTTTATGAGATAAGTCCGAGTTTCTTAAAAATACTCGTCCTACCAAACGAAGTTTATTTGAATACATGGAAAGTTTCTAAACTAACCAGCTTATTTAGTTAACAAACATAGCCTTAGCCTTTGAGACATACCAACGGTCCCGACCCGTCGTTGATTCATAATTCATAAATTCTTTACCTGAAAGCCATACCAACCCATTTTTCGATTCGTATTCATCGATTCTAAATCGGTCTGATGAGTCATCCCATTCTTTAAAAAAGATATATTTATATTTACTTTAAAGAACGTTAAGATAAATACCAAACGAGTCAATCAAAGGTCTATTAACAAATAGATGATCCAATGGTCGATATTAAAAATATGACGACTGGGATCCGCCGATTTCCAAGCCGATCCTGACGAGTTCGAAACGGTTGATTGAATTTTAAATTCAAATTTGAATTATTAAATTATAAATTCCATGGTTCGAGCATGAAATTGACAATGTTGAGCCGGTTATGGATCGGACCTGGATTTGTTGGGCCGTTTTTTTATCCCCTGGAACAGGCCCACCACTACACAGCCCATAATAACTGCTATAGCTCCAAAGCCCACTAAATACTCAGCTGTTTCGCGGCCTCAAAGATCACCCAACTCTCGTTTGGCCCATATCTAAAGCTCAGTGTCTTTAGTTTTGATTCCCATATTTCATTCAATTAGTTGTATTACAACAAAAAATACATAAGCATTAACTGATAAATTTACATCTGGAAAAAATATAAATTTAATTTTTTACAACTCTTACAAAATTATATTATTATTTTTTATTTGAAATAACAATTATCACCCGTAAAAGTCATTCATAAAGGTATATTTAGTTATTTTTTATTTTACATATGCAGTATGGAGATCAAATGAAAATTTCTCGAAATATGATTAATTTGATATATTATACAGAAATACCACATAAGAAAGAAAAGAATATCAAATTATAAAATATATCCCTCTATATCCCCCTATATGTTAATTTAAAACGTGTTGAGCCTTAGTGGCAGACTCGCACGCTTTGGAATCATACGTGTCAAAATATCATGCTTTGTATTTATGTCCGGATAAAAATTTTGGAAGTAAAATTGGCTTGGAATCAACCATAAATAATTATCTTACCTTACATTATTGCCTCTCATAAATCTCTCTTTCATTACCATAAATTTATTGACTCCCATACTTAAATCTCTCTTTCATTACCTTTTCTTATTTAATTAATATAATAATCGTTATAAATATGTATTCTTTTTATTTTTTAATATTTATAATTTTTTTATTTGTATTTTATTTTTTGTATATTGTATCTCAAGATAATCATATTTTGACAATCTTTGATTTGACATCCATATTGCATATATAAAATAAAAAATAATTACATCTTTCATTATAAATAAAACTAAATTTATTAAAAAAATAATTTTGAAAATATATGATATAATTATTTTATAATAAATAAAATGAAAATCTAATTCACTAATGCACCATAAATTAATTATTTTAATGCGTTTTTTCATAAATTTTAAATAAATACAAAAATACGAGCCCCATTTGGAATTATTTACTACTTTTTTAGTTATTCATTATTTCCATATATTCATTATATATATATTTAAAATAAAAAAATAAATTATTTTTAATTTTTCCATTGTATAGATAATAATATATTTAAGTACCCGGGTAGTACACGTGTATCGTACTAGTTTAAACTATAGATAATAATATATTTAAGTACCTGTGTAGTACACGTGTATCGTACTAGTTTAAACTCTAAGAGCATCTCCAATGCTATAAGTGTGAAAGACCATTATTTTTAACACATGTCAATTAGTGATTGTAATGTTAATCCATATTGAAATAATGTTAAAAGACTAAAAATTTCAAGAAACTAGTATCTCCAATGCATCAATTTGATAAGAAGTTATTTGTATAGGTGGACCAATTAAATAATTTATTAATATAAAAAAAATAAAAAATTAAAACAAATATAAAGTAAATTGATGAGTCATCATGTTTAACATGGTGTTAGATATTAGAAAGTGTGCTCAACATTGTCAACATTAAATGACATCCACCTCATCATGAAAGAGTTCATGACAAGATGCATTGGAGAAAAAAATGGAAATACACTTTCAAAAGTTGATGATATGGATGACATTTTATAATGTCAAAAGTTGCATTGGAGATGCTCTAAGTACTGATAGACCTATATGCACTATTTTGAAGCACCATATTTAAACTCTAAGTACTGATAGACCTATATGCACTATTTTGAAGCACCATACTTGACAAATGGGATTACAAAATACCAAAATCTGACACTTAGGTTCGAAAATGTCCTGCATTTTGCAAGAGATATTTGAGTTTAACATAATCAATGTGACCTATTTTAATACTCTTCTAAATATTTACTATACATTTATAAGACTCACAATATCATGCGTTTGGGACTAAATCTATTAGCAAAATTAGAATAGTGATCTAATAACTAAAGATAAGAACCGAAAGGGCTTTTGATCTGCCCCACTGATTTATGAAGTTCATAAGCATCACACGTCCAATAGTCAAATTAGGGTCTAAGTTAACTCTGTGATATTTTACCAGAGAAGGTAATATTCAAAGATATAAAATCATAGATTAAGTTACAATTAATAAAGATATGTACATAACTATACAAGTACCCAAAAGGCCAAAATTAAATTAAATAAGCGGGATTCATAACTTAATTATGTGAAGAGGTTTATGTGTGATTCAAGAGATAGTGTTCCTTTCTAATTTTTTAATATTATACCAATATGAAGGAAAATAAGGCCGATTACAGTTGAGAACGATATTAAGACTCGATACATTATGTTCTTCATGCTTGTTCGAGAGTAATTGGATTTCATAAGTTGTTTATGATCATATCAACTTGATTATTAATGGGCACTTGAGGCGAACTTGAATGAACTCGAACTCAAAGCTAATTTCTTATCTTAATCAACGTAATGAATTCAATATCAACATTTGATCAAGGAAGAAATAATACTTGTCCATAGGATCATAATTAATAATTGCAATTTCTTCGCAAAATTCTCTCTTTATGTAGAAATGAAAACTAGAGCTGTTAAACGAGCCAAGCTACTTGTTGGCTCGGCTAGTTATGACTCGAGTTTGACGAGTCCACTTGTTTAATAAAAGAGTCGAGTTTGAGCTCGTTTAGTTAACGAGTTGAACTTGGCTCGGCCAATTAAGACTCGGGAATAAGATATATTTTACGTAATTATTTGAAATATTATTTTACTTTGATCCATCTCAACTCTTTAATCTTGATAAAATAAGTCGAGCTCATGTATTGGCTCGATAAAGGCTCGAGTATGAAAGTGTGAGGAGAGTTCATATTCGACTGAACTCGTTTACAACTCTACAGGAATATACTATCCCACCTCATAATAAGATTCATAGCACTTTTATTTTCCAATCTCTGGGAAGAAAAAAAGCATCCAATAAAAAGATAAAGAGAAATTATATTCCACCTTTGATGACTCAAATACAGACACACTCACAAAGAGTGGTAGTTTGTTTCTTCTTGTGATGCAAACATAACAATCTTCAATTCCTGTTGCACTTTAGGATGACGGTGATTTAGATCAACACATACACACATATCTACATAGGTGTGTTGATTTAAACGGTAAAATTCTCGGTGACAAGACTTTAAAAGAATTATAAACACTACAAGAATAATCATTTTTAGTGACGATAATTTTTGTCGCTATGTCGTCAGAAAAAATACTGTCGCTAATAATGTCCTAATATTGTCGCTATATGTTTCAATATCGTCACAATAATACCTCTTATTGTGACGGTATTTTTTGTGACGACATAACGACAAAAATTATCGTCACTAAAAATGATTATTCTTGTAGTGAAATTAATTCTTAAAATTGTAACAGTTTTTTTATCATCAATTGGAAACACTAAAATACAGAATACCACAAAATTTGTGTCTCATAAAGCTAAGGTCATTTGCTAACTGGTGATTGTGCTATTGACTGGTCACATTCATGCTTCTATTTTTCCAATCAAATTATGTGAAAAAAATAATAATAAAAGTAAAGAAAATAGCTCTCTTACCTTTAACCCAAAGATACTGGAAATTTTTGGGCCAATGGCAACTCAAAACGTGGCATATATTCCCTTTACTCCCTCTCCATCTCAGCCATTGGTCAAAAGTATTTAGAGTGGTCATTTTTAGGGTTTGTACCATTCATTTTGGGTATTTTCAAACCAAGTTCTATATTTAGAAAAGCCTAGCTTAGATAGTGTTGATAACAATTTGGTACAATTATGGTTGCTCTTTTAAGTTGAGTTTGGTCTAAACTTTCTTCGTTGGGTCAACTGTATATTAATATACAATTTTTTATATGAGTCAATCTAAGTTATTCGACTAGTTATATTTTTTTAATAAAAATGCATACATATGCTAGAAATATCGTACATTTATGTTATTATTAATCTACAGTATGACATTTTAGTTTGCAGATTTAAATA